GTCGCGCTCATACTTTGCGACTGCTTTTTACCTCGTTCGGAGCTTGGATGGATTAGATATGTACAGATCACGCAAACACACGACTGCGCGATCGACAAGTATCACGTCCACACTCAAACTGCAAGACGGTCGCTAATTGTGACCGCCACCCAAAAATGCCCCAGAACTTAAGCCAAGGTGATCTGCTCTACTATTTGATACCTTTGACAATCGCACAGAAAAGTCTCAGCACAGTGAATTTTTACTACAAAAAATATACTATCGCGCGACCGGCTCGGAGTATGACGCCTGACGTACGTCAATTCAAAAAAGTTCGACAAGGAAGAGGTTTGGAAGGAAAGGCTGCAAACATATGCCCTACGCCCTGGATGATGGCTGTATCTGAGCTCCTACAATCGCCAGACCTGTGCTTGATCCTAGAGTGACTCCAGTGAAGGGAAATCTTCGTTCTCTCGGCTCATCCAAGGAGGAGGAAGAAAGGAAATTCCCCATTAAAGATGTCAAAAAAGTAAGTTATGAAGTCAGAAAGTCTGCATACCTTTCCCTGCACAAACTCCTAAAAATATGGAATTAAGGACCGAGTCAGAGCCAAGCACGGTGATGTCAATACAAGCTCCCCACATGTGAACTCCCTCCTAAATCTAGGTCACAATACCTTCTCGATATCACGCAACGGCAACAACACAGTTTCGCCCACTTTCAAAGTTCATGGAATTTGCGGCCCAACCAGCGTAGAAAATTTGCTACTTTCATTGTGAATTTTGCACCCCACACATGACCTCCAGGAAGTCCTGGTCATAACCCGCCGTCCCAGAAGTGCCATTGCGTACTCTTACACATCCAGTGATGCTCCCATACGCTGTCCTATGCTACAAAGCCCCGCGGTCAAATAACGCCAACTTAATCCATAGTGGTCCGAACCCAAAGCGAAGAGCTATTCAATATGACATACAATTTTTGCTTAAATCTAACTACTATCAGGATAAACCAAACGAGGACTTAAACAATGTTCAAATCATACATACCTCATCAACCAATCATCTACACAAGTTTGATGGAAGGAATGCATACACGGCAGGAACCTCACTTTCTCCCCGGGTTCGAAATCCACCATACAAATAGCACACCTGAAAAGCAAAAAGAAAATTTACGGAAGCAAAACAACTATAAGGATCTGTCCCAGAAATAATCATAAGAAAGAATCATAATCCGAAATTCTAAGCAAAACTTACTCGCTTCCCTTCATATCCGAGCGAAATTCGTCCGCCGGAATCTGCTCAGCAGTCTCCTAATTCTCTGCCGTTGTGCATCTTCACGCAATTTTCCCTCGTCAGCAGCTGCACGTTGACGAGCCACGTTCGCAACATACAGCTGATTTACGTATGGGCTCTTAAACACTGCTTTTCCACGATTGTCCGATGAAATATGACTAAGCTGAAACTAATGTAGATAAACAAGATTTTTCAGTTTCTTCCACCCGTTCAAAACATATTTATGGCGTGGGCTAGCGCGTCCTTTTCAGCTACTATAGTTTCTTACAGCACCTTTCCGTAACAACGTACTATGTGACAGCCTTCATCTATGAGTTTAATTCGATTTAATAAAGGTTCCCCAGCAACGCGGCGGAAAAGAAATCAGCGGATAGAAGAATGGAGTATAATAAAAACCACTCACTTCTTACATCTTGTTCGCCACCTAGGAGTCTTTACTAACAAGGAATCTACCTTGATAATGACTCAGCGGAACTATGGGATCTTTTTCGACTATGGGCTAACGTGTTAAATAGGAAAATCAATTCGCTGAACTCTTTCTGATTTGACAAGACAGATGTTCTGTGAAGAGATCACCGAACATTCATAGAACAGACTACGAATTGACTTCGTATAGGCCAAAAGGAGAGCGTTTCTGAAGAGGGATACTATATACTGAAGGTTGTAAGAGTGAGAAATGGAAAATGATGGGAAGGTGAATAAGAGAAATGAATAAAAAATGAACTAGTATACAGAAAAATGCATTCATCAATGGGAGGTACAAATTTACTCTGCTAATACTTTGTACTTTGTATAAAAGAATAAGCAGAGAGAAGCAAAGGAGAAAGTCATTTAATGAACGGCACTATTGCACTATTACAACCCCAGTGGGGGCCGAGATGGGTCAAAAAATAATTTCGCTGAAACTTCTGCTATGGGGGTTATCGAGGGTCCTGATCACGAATATGACATCCATTTTTGGCGCTGGCGCCAAATTGGCGCCAGCTGGCGCCACAACTGATTATCACCAAATTCGCTGTAAACTTCTGTATAGGGGTTATTTGGGGCCCTGATCACGAATATGACACTGTTTTTGACATTCGTGCTGTTTAACGCATATTTTCTGCTTTTCTAAGCTTTCTCACCTATAGCGCCTAAGACTAAGCTTAGGGGAGGGGAGTGAAACTCCGGAGTGGGTAAACCACGCACCGTGTGGCAAAAGTTGGAGTGTGTTAGACCACAGGGGAGTGGCCTACTCACTTTGGAGCCCTCCACTATTCAAAGGCTTAGTCCTGATTGCGATCTAATTAGTGCGAGGGCGCAGACGAGCAGGAAATAGGCGCCGAATAGCGCTAACAACAAAAACGAATGTCATATTCGTAATCAGGACCCCAAATAACCCCTATACAGAAGTTTACAGCGAATTTAGTGGGAATCAGTTGTGGCGCCACTGGCGCCAAATTGGCGCCAGCGCCAAAAATGAATATCATATTCGTGATCAGGACCCTCGATAACCCCCATAGCAGAAGTTTCAGCGAAAATTATTTTTTGACCCATCTCACCCCTACTGGGGTTGTAATAGTGCAATAGTGCCTAATAAACAACCATGAAAAAGCAGTGGAAAAAAGTTCCTCAAACTCACACTATGAGGAAGGTGCATCACTGGATTGCTGAAACCCATTTCAGGCGCGTCTCGCGAAGATGACCTGAAAGTTATTTGAGAAAAATAAACAGTTCAAAAGACCTTGCTCCCAAGAGTTGGAATCAAAGAAGGAAATTAAAATTCGCTGTAGGTGTCAAATTTTCTATCCATGCATTTTCTCTTCTACAAGTAAAAACATATT